TTATAATGTATTTTCCCATTAATATTAGCCAATCTTTTCGAGCACAACATATCATCATAAGCCGAATTGGTGGTGCCAGACAGATGATGGGGAAAATATCTGCACCTGTTTGAGATGCATATCACACCATGGCAAGCCTTGTCATCCTGCGCAACATATCTGCTGTAACTTCACGAATCAGCCAATGTTAGAGAGCAAACATACATACTCCAATGTCCTTCCGACAGCCATAATCTCCTTGATTCTTTCGGTGCGAGCTCTTGAAGACCACACATCCTTGCAATCTCTGCCAGCCAACGACCACACGAACCTTGCATGTATCGCCCAATGACCTGTTTCCACGCGTCCAACTCGAGCGGGCCAAATCTCCCCACATACCCCTGCAGATAAGGAGAGGATAAGGCCGCAACCCACACCACCGTCAGATCGATCTCGGTCCACACATCCACCGTCCATTCTGGCACCCCGAGATAACCTTCACCGATCCTATAACCCGCCCCACCCCCTCCTCCACGCACGCTCGTGGTAGAGTCCGGGAAGACAGCGCGAGCGATGGCCTCCACAGCAGCAGCCACCTCCCCGTTCCTGGGCACCCGCCTGCCCGAGCGCAGCGTCGCCATGGCGGCCGGCCGGTTCCAGGCCCGGTTCGGTTTCGGCACCAAGAAACGGCCCCAGTCCAAGAAGACCAAGGCGCCAACGTCGGACCGGCCGCTGTGGTTCCCGGGCGCCAAGGCGCCCGAGTGGCTCGACGGCTCGCTCGTCGGCGACTACGGCTTCGACCCCCTCGGCCTGGGCAAGCCGGCGGAGTACCTCCAGTACGAACTCGACTCGCTGGACCAGAATCTGGCAAAGAACTCCGCCGGGGAGCTCATCGGCACCCGAACAGAGAACGCCGACGTGAAGTCCACCCCCTTCCAGCCCTACGCCGAGGTGTTTGGTCTGCAGCGGTTCCGCGAGTGCGAGCTCATCCACGGGCGGTGGGCCATGCTCGCCACCCTCGGCGCCCTCACCGTGGAGTGGCTCACCGGCGTCACCTGGCAGGACGCTGGCAAGGTACCGACCTCCCACTCTGTCATGTGCACATGAAGCTTAGCGCATTGCAGTCAAGCACTGGTTGGATGTGTGGGTGCAGGTAGAGCTGGTGGACGGCTCCTCCTACCTGGGCCAACCCCTCCCCTTCAACATCACCACGCTGATATGGATCGAGGTGCTGGTGATCGGCTACATCGAGTTCCAGAGGAACGCGGAGCTCGACCCGGAGAAGCGCCTGTACCCCGGAGGCAAGTACTTCGACCCCCTCGGCCTGGCGTCCGACCCTGAGAAGAAGGCCACCCTGCAGTTGGCGGAGATCAAGCACGCCCGCCTCGCCATGGTCGCCTTCCTGGGCTTCGCCGTCCAGGCCGCCGCCACCGGCAAGGGCCCCCTCAACAACTGGGCCACCCACCTGAGCGACCCACTCCACACCACCATCATCGACAACGTCTTCTTCGCCTCCTCCTCCTAAGTGCGACAAGACATCGATCGGCTTCACCTTTCCCCTCCCTCCCATGGCGATCTCCTTGTGTGGGATTCCTGTGGTGGGGGTTAATTTCCTGTGTACATCACAAGTCACTCGACTTCTGCGTGCGTAATTTCTACAATATATGGTGGTTTCTACAATATATATATATATATATAGGAGTTGATTTCCATATGGCCTCTGACTGTGATGTTGTATTATATGTAGCCAAATGAGAAATATTGGCCATTAAATAACTACTTTCTGATAATAAAAGAATATATAAAATCAATGAGTGGAAGAAGAACTCAGGATTTGAGATATACTGTCATGAAAAAGCAAACTTAAATATCTGATAATACTGCCTGCCATAAATATACAGAATTACAAATAATCTCTGATGATATCTGATAGGGGCAATAATTATGACAAGACTCCCGTGACATCAGCTGATGCCCCGTGCCTCTGACAGGCTGACAACGCCTGGCCAGCATGGGCCAAAACGCCAACCGAGGCCCATTAACGACCGCTCAGGCTCGCCTCCTCACGACACGCCAACAGCAATGGCAGATGCCATCAGAGGTACGACCCTGCTCCCTGCGGGCAGGCGCTCCAGGTAACACTAAGCTCCCGTATAAATACCCCCGTGTTCTAAGCAAAAGGAAAAAAAAAAAAAAAAGATCACCTCACTCCACATCACTAACTTGATCGTCGGAGGGGTCGGGCCGAATTTCCGACCCGACCTGTGTGCAGGAACCGAGACGAGGCGCCATCTCACCAAGCGCACAGGCGAAGAGCTCTCCGGAGAAGTCTGGGTGATTCCCCGACATTCAGACCCGAACCGAGCAGCGTCGGCCCCGAGGCCACGACTTAAAAGTGTTTACACCAACATTTTGGCGCTAGAAGGAGGCCACACCTGCGC